AAAATCTCATTTTCATATTAAATTAGAATCAAATTTTTACATGCGTTTTACAACAAACTATCAATCTAGAAGGTGATGAATTTATATAAAGCTAAGTTTACTAGTCTAATTCAACGACTCAATTTTAGTCTACCAACGACCCTAAAAAAATAAAAGTTGGATTAGTTGTACCAAAAAAGCAAGCCGCAGCCAAATTATTTAAATAGACGGTCAAGAAGAGAATAATTTGAATATATAAACATGAATAATGTGCTTCTTTCTATAGTAAATTAAACTCATAAAGCCGCGACTATCCGGTTAGAAGTCATGATTGGAAGGATTATATTATTCAATATGTAACCACAACTTTTTAGCATCGTCTTCTCTCCTAAAACCTCATTCAATTTGACAAGATTAACAGTATAAATGTAAATATTCTAAGAAAATCTCATTTTCATATTAAATTAGAATCAAATTTTTACATGCGTTTTACAACAAACTATCAATCTAGAAGGTGATGAATTTATATAAAGCTAAGTTTACTAGTCTAATTCAACGACTCAATTTTAGTCTACCAACGACCCTAAAAAAATAAAAGTTGGATTAGTTGTACCAAAAAAGCAAGCCGCAGCCAAATTATTTAAATAGACGGTCAAGAAGAGAATAATTTGAATATATAAACATGAATAATGTGCTTCTTTCTATAGTAAATTAAACTCATAAAGCCGCGACTATCCGGTTAGAAGTCATGATTGGAAGGATTATATTATTCAATATGTAACCACAACTTTTTAGCATCGTCTTCTCTCCTAAAACCTCATTCAATTTGACAAGATTAACAGTATAAATGTAAATATAGATTTAGTTCTAACCTTGATCGAAATCACCTTGTATTAAATAAGCAAGTGTAAAACCTGAGAGGCATGGACTGAATGGGTTAGTTGATCAACTTTGACAATTAACTTATAAACAGAGAATAAGAAGACATGTACACTGAAGTCAAAAAAAAAGAAAAAAAGAAAAAGAAAGGGATTAAATATCCCAAACCATGACTGTTAATTACTATAAAGGCAATGCTCTGTAGCATTAACAAACTGCTGAGAGATAATTGGAGAGATCAAATAATAGAAGGTAAAATATGGCCTCAAAGGGTAGTGCTGTACCAGTAATTGACATGCAAGATCTATCAGGGCTGCCTGAAAGATTAGTGAAGGCTTGTGAAGAATGGGGATGCTTTAGGATTGTAAACCATGGCGTTCCAATGGAACTCATGTCCGAAATGAAGTGCGTTTCACGTTCTCTCCTTGACCTCCCCATGGAAATCAAGATGAGAAACTCTCATCCTGAGCATGGCAAAGGATACACCCCTCCTAATATGGCAAGTCCATATTTTGAGGGTTTGAGTTTATACGATATGGCCTTGCCTGGAGCGGTCGATGAGTTCTGTTCTCAAGTTGGTGCATCTTCTCATCAAAGGTACTGTTCTTGGATGTATATTATTAAGATTTATGGTTTCATCTTAAAATGTCAATATCATGAAGAAGAGTAACTTAAATCTTTAGAAGTTGGTCTTTTTTTTATGGTCCTTCGATATGAGATTTTATCCCTTAACATGTCTCCGCAAGATAGTAGCTCGTTTGAGCAGACAAATTTGAAATCTTTGTGCTCATTTTTTTTTAGTCTTAATCGAATAGAATTGCTTCTTGGAGTTTAATGAGCTCTGATACTATAATAATATTTGAGGTTCAATATTAAAAGCTCTACATTATTAAGAAGAGCAGTCTAAATCCCTATAGATTAGTCTATGTTTCATCTTTATTGGATGTGAAATTTTATCCTTTAACATGCTCCCGCTAGATGATGACTTGTCTGAGCAAACCAATATTGAAATCCATGTATTCATTTTTTTTTAAAGTCTTAATCGGATCGAATTGTTCGTTCTGTCTTAATGGGCTTTGATATCATATTTAGGACTTAGGGTTCCATCATAAAAGTGTCAACCTAATTAAAACGAGTAGCCCAAACCTTTATAAGTTAATCTATATTTTCATCTTTATTCGATAAGTCACCATTGTTGAAGGTTTTAGTTTTCTGGTCTGAAGATTTTTTATTTATTTATTATTATTTTTTTTCAATTTTCGCAGAGAGATAATAGAGAAGTATGGTTTTGCTGTGTATGATCTTGCACAAAACCTAGGCAGCAAATTGATGGAAGGTTTAGGGTTGGGTCGTCATGAGTTGTTCAACCAATGGCCATGCCAACTGAAAATGAACAAATACAGTTACAGTCATGAAACTGTCGGATTGACAGGTGCTGTAATGCATACAGACCCTGGATTTCTCACATTACTGCAGGATGATGAGACAATTAATGGCCTGGAGGCAGTGGACGAGTACACTGGGGAACTGGTTTCAGTTGATCCCATACCAGGGACCCTGGTTGTCAATGTTGGAGATATGGCTAAAGTAAGCGTTACAAGGCATAATTTAAATAAAATTTTTTTTTTATTTTGGCTCTAACATCTTCAGTTTTTAGACGAGTTGAATTAACATGGTATTACAAGATACAGAAATTATGAGTTTAAGCTTAAATTGTGCACATAATGAATCCAATTAGTCTGGCTTATAGATGAGGGAGCATGTGAGTACACAATTAAAATAAATCAGATGGCCCAACACAAGTCTGTGCAAAAATTTCGTATCTAGAGAAAAAATGATATATTTGGAGACTAACTCATCACTGAAAATTTTGTCATAGGTTTGGAGCAACGGGAGGTTTTGCAATGTGAAGCACAGAGTCCAGTGCTACGAGCCAAAAATCCGCACCTCAATTGCATTGTTTGTATTGGCTCCAAGGGATGAAAATGTGGAGGCATCGCCACAGCTGGTGGACATCCACCACCCTCGTCTCTACGTTCCTTTCCATTTTGAAGATTACAGAAAGCTACGAACTACCACAAAATCACCAACTGGTGCAGCCCTTGAGTTGCTTCGCACAAAAAATTAGAGCCAAATATGGAGAAAAAGGATGCTTTATATTTAATTTTGTTCATTCGTATTTGTTCCTTAGCACGAAGGAGTACCGGTTTTTATCATGTACCATGTTTACAATATATTTTATACAATATTACACTTTTTCAGTAATAAAATAATGTATTAATTTAGCCCAAATTAATAGAAGTAAAACAAACACAGATTAAGGTCTCATGTGATGACTACTCACTGAAACTTGAGAAAAAAGATTTATGACTTTTCTTTATTTTTTACTTTTTACTTTTGATATTATTATTTTTTCGTTTGAAACTTTTTTCTGTAGTTAATTTATGTTCTCATTGAATCCGACTCCTAACTTCGTATGTTCACATGAGATGTTAAAGTGAATTTGGTACAATTTTTTACCTTTGGCCGAACTGTTAGCGGGAGGTACAAACCTATTTATATTGTTTAAGTTGAAATTTGGGTGCCATAATTCATGAGGTATTTATCAATAATTCATATAGGGGATGTAATTCGAGGAGAAAGTGCCCAAAATTGAGAAGCTGAGGGAATTAGTAAGCTGTCTACTGAACGTAGTAGAGAGAAAATAATGAGAGTTTGGACCTGAAATGAACTGTCGGTGATATGCTAGAGGAAGGCGAGGATGACATCAAGTCATCACGCCCCTTTATGTCGTGGATGACACATTGCTTTTTTCAAAAGATTAGGCTCAGAAATATTGGAATTTTTTTATTTTTTTTTATTTTTTGGGCTAATCTTATCATTGTAGTAGTTTGCTAGTGGAGAATTCAGCTGGAATAACGTTATATATAATTACGTGATGAATATAACTTCTCGATTGAACTCTACCAGAAGAACTTAAAGAAGCAACAAAATGAGCTGCATTACATGAAAAGAACATTTATAATTTGCTGACATGCAGAGAATTATCTTATTTAATTTGCTATACAAACTCCACAATTAGGGCATGTTTGGTGCGCTAGCTAGGATTGGAAATAACAGTTGATTTTTTTTTCACGTGTATCGTTTCCTTAACTTTGATAATTCCTATATAAACCAATGTACATGATGTGAGCACTCAATTAGTCAAAAAAGTTGAGCCTTGCCTTTGTAGTAAGGTTTTTGCTGTTGGGATTAAATGGAATTTCAATAATAGCTTGGTCAAGATCAAACACCTCCTTTTGTGTTTCTAATGATGTGCGGGAATTCTTTCTAAATGAATTTTCATAATAAACATCATTCTTCTATATTGGTTAATTTGCCTTTATAGAACTTTCAAATCTGTGAGGTGTATTGGATCAGAATGCCATTTTTGACACCCTTTTCGGGAATTAATCAGCATTCTTAAGAAGAAGGATTAATTCTTTGCAATAACTCGTTGGTGATAGATGTATTTGTGATGAGAAGTGCTACAAAATTAATTTCTTTTCACCCTTGCTCTCTATTTGGCTATATCCATGGCAATAATAGTGATAAACGAAAAATAGAAATGACCACTCCAGTGATCACGGGACCCTTCTGTGCTTCATCCTTCGCACTAACAGAATCCACCTTCTGCTAAAGGCCTTCATGTGCTCTTGTTGGGTACGGTTATTGTATTTGTTTTTTCCACATTAGTCAATTGAATAAAATATTGTACTCTTCTGTCAATTAATTGTTTGCCTTTTATCTTATTATTTGTTTGAAATCACATACCTTGTGCACTTGTTTGGAAACAAGATGGATCGAAGTAATATATATGATAGAATTTGAAGTGTATGATCGCAAACAAATAACATGATAAAAGACAAAGAATTAATTGACTAGAAAATGAAATATGTTATTCAATTGACTAATATGGAGAGAATAAATGCAATAATTGTGCTTACATAATTATATTGTATTTCAATTATACAAAACTTATGAAAAAGTTGTAGCATTTAGGGGGTTGCATGCCAAACCTTATAAATACCACAAAGATGAAAACAAGATCAAAAATCACGTGCAATAAGGGAAAAATAATTTTTCCAATAAAAATGTGTGGAATAAAAGAAAAAATATTTTCCATGAAAGCTAGTTAAATAAAGGAAACAATATATTCCCAAAAAAGCTAAATTAAATTTGGGTAAAAAATCCAACAATCTCCACCTTAATACAAATTTTGATGCAACAAATGAAGCTCTAAAATTTCTCCACTTGGAAAAATAAACTCAACCAACTGCAATGAAAAATTAAAACTCTTCAATAAGAATCAAACTTTCTCCAACATAAAAATATACATTTTCTTCCACGGTATCCAATACGGATACATGAACCCAAACACCATGTTCCCCAAAATTAGAAATTATCAATAGTGTCGAAGTACAACATGTAGCAGAATCAACTCCCAATATTTTCATAAAAGACCCCCTGGCTAGTCTCAATACCTTCAAAAATGTTGAAAGCATGTGCAACAAAATTAGCATCAACGTACATATCTCCAATAGGTTTATTCCTAGCAGTTGAATATGATGGAATTGTAAGTAATGGTGACAAAGCAGAATTATCCATATCTTCCAAATTTGACTCAGTAATATTCTTCAAATGGACCCCGAACTAGATCCTAAGGTATAGTACCAAATTGAAACTCTACCACGATACTAAATCAGTGCTGACTTTTTTTTTACAAATTCTACTTGACTTTGCAAGATTTATAATTTTGACCTCTTCTACCCCTCAAATACAACATAAACACCCTTCCGAACTATCAAAATTCCACCTCCTTTACTGAACGTGTACCCGTACTCAATGAAAAGAGATTCTTTTTCAAATCTGGAATATGTCGAACGTGACCAAGTGTTCTGTATATTCCATCCACCAACTTCAATCTGACTCTACCAATACTAGTTACCAAATAGGTTCGTTGTTATCCATGACAACAACACCATGAGTCATTGTTTCATATGTTTCAAAAAAAATCCTAATTGGAACATATATGGAATGTACAAGCTGTATCCAAAATTCACTCGTCGTCAGGTTTCAATTCCATGTTAGAAATTATCAAAATATCTCCATCACTCAAATAGTTCTTGCTATGTTGATCTCATCTAAAGCATTTGATTGCTTCCCATGATTTGTAATCAAATTACCTTTATTCTTCAATTTGTCACAACCCCACATAATGTGTCTTTTCTTATTACAATAATAACAAACTTGATTACTGAAATTTGACTTCAACTTACACCTTTTCCAATCACCATGACAATCAAGGCATTCTCATCTTTGGCCTCATATCCAATCAAATACTTCATCTTCTATTTTGAAAATAAAGCATCATACACATTTTCAATGGAAAGAGTATCATAACTATACAAGATTGTTTCTATAAACGAAGTAAACCAAGTGGGTAGCGAACATAAAAGGATTAAAGCCAAATTTTCTTCATCATACTTTACTTCTAAAGTCTTCAAATCAACGAAGATCTCCTTGAGCATAGTTAAATGGCTTCCAAAGATCCGTCTCTCTTCCATTCGATGTGAATACTACATCTGCTTCAAATGTAATTTACTTGTTAGACTTTTAGTCATGCATAATTGCTCCAACTTCAACCATAATGCAACTATCGTTTTCTACTTCAAAACGTCATGAAAAATATTATTAGAGAGGTAACGATGGATCTATAAAATTGCCTTTTGATCCTCCTTTGCTTATTTACTGTAGTCTAAGTTGTGAGCATTTTGTTAAATCCCAACAACTCATCATTCAAATCCATCCGCATGAGTATAGCTCACATCTTCACTTGTCGCAATGATAATTTTGTATTGCGATCCAAGAACGAAATTTCATATTTCATATTTCATGGTTGCCATCAAGAACAAAAACCTCGAACAAATCACAACCAATAGCTCCAATACAACTATTTTTTTATTACTTATTTCTACTTATTTTTCAACAACAAGAATACAACTATTTTTTATTACTCCATGACAATTTGTCGCTCACTTCATCAAATCTCGAACTATGATATGAAAGAACCTATGAAATCTATATCATTCAATTGTCAACCCTGTAATATGATCATATCTAAAGCAAATTCTATAACATTGAAATTTCTGAGAAACTACATATGAAAATGCTGAAGAATCAACAAGAATTATGTATGCGTTGAATGATATAACTTGTTAATAGCAAGCAAGATATATTACAAAATATGAAGTAGCAATTACAACACAAAAGAACACAAAAAAATTGGTAGAGAAATGAAAATTTTATTAATGATGGAGAAAGAAAATAAAGAATATCGTATTTACAATATTATCTAACATGTGTAATGTATCTAACTTGTAAAAAATAGCTAACTATATACAGATGACATATAAGAACCCTAACAATATTCTTAAAAATAGAAATAGTGTCAAAAAATGCGTAAAATATAAGAAACAATATTTTTCAAAAAATCCAACCGAATTTATGTCAGACTTTGACAGAAACAACAACTAATTTGTTCTTTATTTAAGATGGAGGAAATACTTTTGAGCCATACGATCAACTTTGATTCAAATTATATTAGTGATTTATATTGATCAACTACATGAAAAAACACATTACGTAAAAGTGAGAATGGACAGTATAAAAATAATAACAGAAAAACAAAATTTATGTGAAATCCAAAAAGGGAAAAATTCACGAGCAGAGAAAGAGGAAATTTACTATATCAAAAATGATTATAAAAGATATGGTTACTACAAATGTTATGATATGATAAAACCTTAATATATAATAAAACCTCTCGGCCAGCTACTATCACAAACCTCCATTTTTCTCATAATTTTAGTTTCACTATATATGTCGCACCATAAGTTTTCGGGGCCGGATCAAACAGAATTATGGACGCCAAACTTGAACAAAATAAAAATGTTGAGATTATTCTATGATCCAATTTACATTGGGAAAAAAGTCGTTTAATGTGTTTAGTCGCATATCTGGCCAGGTTGGTGATTGAGTCTCAAATTTAAAAGTCAATCAAAATTTAAGTCTGATTTTTAATGACGCCAAAGATGGACTGAGTTTCAACTTGGTGAACTAAGAAAAGCTCATTATAATATTAAAAGTAGAATTAATTTTTAAATTAATTTTGCCTCAAATAGAAGGTGACGTATTAGTCAGCATTTACAGCCAAGTTGGTGATTGAATCTCAAATTTAAGTTTCAACTTGC